CTGTTGCTGCGCTCCCGTCTTTGACAAGTGTGAAGTGGTTAGGAAAAATAAAGACAAACTCACTCGGGAAATCATTGAGGCGCGGGAAATTGGAAGATTGGGGCAAAACTGTGTCAGCACTCCGTCACTATCTTTATCGGATAAGGAACGTTGCTATTTAGACACACAGTGACAGTGCATAGCAATGGCTAGTGAGCACGTGGCATCCAGGTCAAGCTTTTTATTCATGTTTGTTTGTTATGACAATACAGTATTTATACTCGCTGTTAGAACGAATAAACTTCAGTTGTAAGTCAGCGCCTTGTTTGTCTACCTTCTTGTTCTTGTCCGTGTCCTTGCGCTGTTTTAATCTTTAATATATAGTGTGTTTTCAATAAACATTCAGTTGAAAGTAGCGCTTCGTGTTGTGTCACTTAGTCTGTCCTTGTCTTGCGGCGCATTTTGTGAAAAAGTAGTCATGTACCAACTGGCCCATCTGTCACTATCGATGCAGCCATATTCAGCCCGTTCATGACATATATGGGTCAAAATATATCCCCTGATAATAATATATTGCCGCGCGCCAAGTAGGCAGCGCGGCCGTAGCCTAATGGTTATCGCGTTTGCCTCCCACGCGAAGGGCCAGGGTTCGATTCCTGGCCGCGACTATGCATTTTTGTTAACACTGTAATGTGATGTTCTGGTGAAATCGAGAACCGTCTAGCTGATTCGAGGTCAGAATGTTCTACGCGTCGAACGCTCCAGAAGCCAACGTGTGTGTACAAAAGCGGCTCCGCGGGCAAGCCGGAGCCAGTCTCGCCCCAGCGTTCAACTCTGGTGCCACGCCGACTTCGACGCCCGCGACGCTCTATTATTATCTTTTGTACTCTTTTATTTTTGGCAAAAGTTCGCCACATTAAACGTTTATTTCTTCCTGTTTATTTATTACTTTTTATTCACCACCCGTGACGTTTTGGTGGAGGTTCGACGCGTAGAACATTCTGACGTCGAATCAGCTAGACGGTTCTCGATTTCACCAGAACATCACATTACAGTGTTAACAAAAATGCATAGTCGCGGCCCGGAATCGAACCCTGGCCCTTCGCGTGGGAGGCAAGCGCGATAACCATTAAGCTACGGCCGCGCTGCCTACTTGGCGCGCGGCAATATGAGCCCGTTTCGGCCATGCAAACGAGAAGTCACATATACTCGCCAAGACACTAGTTGATTCATCTATATTGCATGAGTCTTATGTAATTGGTTAACTATTGCTAGCATCCTTAAAGTGTAGTTATTCCAGATAACTGGACCAATTAATTAATCGCGCATTTTGAAGATTGAAAGACAAATGAAATTTGGTTATATGTTTGACGTGTGACAATATGACGAAGTGCATAAGATCGGAAAGCGAGTTAATCAAATAACGGATTTTAGATCGCAGCTCCCAGGATCCCGTTTCCGTGTTAAGCGGTGTCGGCGTCGCCGTCGGCATCTGTGTAACCGCTCCGCTAAATCTAGCGGGAAATTGAATTGGTGCTTATGCCATGTGACGTCAATTTTCCCGCTAAATCTAGCAGTGAAACCAATTTTGTTCGTGATTCCACGCTAAATTTAGCGGGGAAACACGAACCGTTAGCTTACTGAAGATGCAAGACGCTACTTCGTCGCCCCGAATCATTTTCCCTTTGAACGGCTCGAAGCCGTTGCGTCCGAAGTACCCTACGCAGCATCTTTAAAACTGTACGCGCAGCATCGCAAGGTTCCGTTTGCGAGCGTCGGCGATTCATCGTGTGTTTAATATCGGAAGATGTGCTGTCCGTGGTGTCTTTTATGTGTAACTCTTTTCTGAAAAATCGGAAATTTAGAAACGCGAACCTAACAGTATACGGACCAGATTAAATTTATTGGTAATATATATATATATATATATATATATATATATATATATATATATATATATATATATATATATAATTGTTTGTGTACATCAAGTGCAAAAATAGTCGCGCTTATTTTTTCATTTAGAATTATAATGTGGGTTATACGGCGTAAAACATATCTTCCAACTTGCATCGTTTTGGGTCACTTTCGGGCTGGACAGCTTCTTTGGAAGTTCAAAGGCTGGACTTCATAGAGCTGTCCTGTTCACTCGGTACTGAGAGCAGAGTAGATGCTATGCGTGTTTTAAGCCAATCGTGTTTCCGGTTAGGGTCACGTACCTACAGTCTAGAAGCTTGTGATAAGGCAGAGCATGTCACATGCCTCAAGCCCAAGGCCACACATAGCATTCACTGCACTATCAACTTTGGGTACAAGTGACAAATCCTCTCGTTGTGGTCAATGTTGGGATCAGGACCAGGTCCTGGTAGGAATATGCCCCAGAAGATAAGCCTTCTGTGTGTGCACTCTCGTTTTGACCTTTCCTTCTCTCCTTTTTTCTCTCTTTCTAAACTGAAAGCGTGGCTGCCGGACCTAGTTTGGCGTGTGTTGCGCTCTGCGTGGCTTCTGCGGATTCTGCTTCACCAGTAAATTCGAAAAGTCCTACCCGTGTATCGGCAACAAGAGATTTCTTCTAAGAAGCCCAAGAATTTTTTGTAATGCGTTAAATCTTCGATTCTACAAATGACATCTTGTGCTACATCATGTTGAATCTTCCCGGACACCTTCCTTCTCGTTTTTTTTTTTCTGTTATGTTTGAGGGGTTGTCATGCCCGTGTCAACATATATCTCGGATTACATCTTTCAGGTTCGGTATCGTCAACTGAAGTGCGCTGCAACCTACGTCGCGACTATTGATCCTTTTCCTGCAGGTACTTTTCCAGATTACCTCTAGAATTAGGCCGTGTCTATCTCCTGGCAGCCGGGAAAATAATTTCTCCGAAATTCTGCCTGCAGTCACCTGCCATTGGCCGTCTAAAATCATGTCACAACCGCAGGTAGAATACTGAATTTTTTATTCTCCCTGCGTTTCGTGATAACACGTTCCACGGCCACCTTATCGTGGATAAACGTTTCATGGACACACGTTTCGTCGACATTAACGTTTCATCGACGTTCGTTAAGCAAACGTCTAAAATCCTGCTTTCCCTGGGAATTAAGTTGAGCGAAATCAGGAGTGGCGTAAAGCGCAGTTCATGTAAAAATGAATAAAAGTTGCTACATGCTGAATATCCAATTGGTATTTTTCTTATACAGATTAGAAGTCGCTTTTGGTAGTTACATGTAGAAAACAACAATATATATAAAGGTTGCCTAATTTGATTGGGACATATCTGGCCTAATATGGGAGGCAGATACATGGATATATAAAAAATTGGGCATACCTTGTTAGATACGTATCATATACACTGATGTGCTTGATATGGCCAGATGATGCCCAATTTTTTTATATAACCATATTTTTTTATACATGAGTCCAGATATGCCATTTTCGTAAGGGGTTGCACGCTCCCGGCGTACGTCGCCCTTCTTTTGAGCGCGCCGCGCGCCTCGAACGCGCGGCGCCGCTATTCGCCGAATTCAGTCACGTGAGCAGCAGACCGCGACTGCCGTACAGGAAAGACGGAGCTACGGAGATGAACGCGCAAACTCTGGCTCCCGTAGGGAGCCTATACAGGAACTCTAGAGTAGCGCAATCTAGAACGCCATCTCTCGGCGACTAGCGGCGAACGCCCGGAGGTTCCAACTCCGGTCACAAACGTATGGGGGACGTGAGCAAATCGTGTTTTCTTCATTATTTCGGGTATGTACGCAACGACAACAGTTTTTGACATAGTAAAGAAACATTTTACAATAATTTGTGCTTAATTGTGTGCAACGTAAAACCGTTATTTAAAAAAAAAATTACCTGAGCGGCATCATGCAGCAGAACACGCGGCGCAGTAGAGGACGATCGCTTGGAAGCAGCTGCCAAAAAAGAAAAATAAGCTATCCGCATAGACAGTCTCTCACGCTGTTCGAAAAACGCGCGAAAAAAACGTCACACCGTTTACGTGACCTGCTCCGGCGAACCCAAAAAGTCCATCACTGCGTAAAAGAATTGTGTGCTTCAAAGGCTATTTATTACCTTGAAAATTTCCTTCTGAAACTTTTTCACAGGCATCCAATATTATGAAATATTTGATAAAGTGTCTATTTTGCCAACTTCAATGACGGAGTAGATTCGGAAAGTGTGAGCTCAGTGTTTGTTTTTTAATCAGCCGTGTTGCGTAGATCTCCATGTGTTCTCCCATAGGGCGGGCGCCTCCTGGAACCATGAGTACCACGTGACTCGCGCCGAGCTGCTCAGTTGGCTACGTTGTCGGCAAAACACGCGGATCAAAGGATTGCGTTCGTCTGCTCCTAGGAGCTTTTCAGTGCTTTTGTGCAGCCTTGCCTACTGGCGAAAAAGTTGCGAAGCGGCATATAAGTACAGCCCAAGTGGTCACCAGTGTGAGGCAAAGTCGATTACGTTGGCGAGTGATAGGCATCGATGAAAAAGGGCTGATCTATGGCGTCGGCGTGTCCCGGAGCCCTGGAGCTGTGGTCGAGGAACGTGCCTGGTGTAACGCTGATGACGCGTTCTTCTGCGGTGTAGGACCCACGAAAAGACAAGACCTCATTCCACGGGCCGAAGTCAGCAAGCTGGAAAGCAGGAGCTGAAAATGCCACTTTTACCCAGAATTTATTTTGTCGGTGTCCTGACCCCTATAAGGGTAAACAGAATATAAAACGGTAGACTATAGAAAAAAAAAATTCTGTGATTCATAGGTTGCTGGCTCGAATCCATCTCGACGGGAAAAACGTTTTCCTTACTTTTCCACTTTTTTTTATCTCAAAGGTGGCGCAGCGACTGGGAGGAATCATGTGATTCATGACTTCACCGGGAGTTTTTACGAAGGACGACCATGCAATTTCCCTGGAAGGTTCCCACTAAGAGCTGTCATTGTGAAACTCTCACGATAACAATTATTTATTGACCTTCTTGTCGTTAGATGAGATCGCGGATGTAACTTTACTTGACATGTTTTCTCTGGCAGGGCATGCACAGCGAATCTACGACTCACGTAGCCATGATGCGGCCTCCCTGCAGTGCCAATCTCACGAGCAGCTGCTGCTTGCGCATCATCTACTTCGTCACTACTGCCATCTTCATCCTGTCGGCCACCTTCATTAACATGGTAATTACCTCTCGTTTTTGATGTGGCACAATGGAACGATGCAAAAAAAAACGAAAAAAAAAAAAGCAGCAGCTTAAAGGAGAAAATAATTGGTTGCTCCGGTTGTACTAACTTTCCCGTCAAGCGTCGCTAACGGCTGGTAGCGTCTAAAGATCGCAAACTTGGAATCTATCACAGACCCAAGGATTAGGCTACGTTGCACACTAAGAATGAGTGTAGCCGACACTACTAATCGACGAAGTCAATCAAGCAGCATCAGAAGTGCCTCGTCATGGTGCTCGTCGTCTTTGTGCGTTTGTCGTCATCACCGGCTAAATCCACCACGCACGAAAAGAAGTGTACGATCACGGCGCTTTTTTTTTGTCTGTTCGTGGTTGGTTTAGTCGTTGATAGCAAACGCACAAAAACCACGAGCGCCACGACAATACAATTTTGACGCTGCTTAATCGGATTCATCGACTTGCAGATTTGCCTGTAGTCGAATTTAATGGGAAATGAAGTACACGGCGCGTTTCAACAAAGTTAGAATGTTTTGTGTCTCTTAAACTTACGAGAAAGAGAGCGAAACAATTTGAAGTAAACCCCAATATGTCTGTCATCAGTAGTGGCCGCGAGAACAATGATGCTATCTATATCACGCGGGGAAGTAGAAGACTGACAACCTCGTTCTATGTCGACAACCGCTATCGGCTAGCTTTTGCAGTAGCTCCCAGCGTATGGTTGTCGTGTAAGGTCGTCGTGGCGCGTGATATTACAGTGTGACGTAACGTCGTAGTTCCACGTGACTCTGGCACTTGGTGGAGAAATTTCCCAGGTAAATTGAATGAATAAAGGTTCCCGCTCAATTCACCAGGAGAAAGATTCCGCTAAATTTAGCGATGGAAATTTCACTCCGCGACGTTAAATTGAGCGCGAAACGTTCTCCGCTAAATTTATCGAGATAATGCCCGTGTGCAGTGTGATTGTGAGTCTGCGTGGGGCAGAGTGTGCGGCGCCTCGGGAGACCCCGCAGTTCCTTTGCAAGGCACGGCTAGGACCCGGGAATGAACTAATCCACTGTTACACCTAAAGGCTGACCTACAGAATCGTCTTCTGCCGGGAAGGAGAAAACCGGTTCCCAGTATCCCTCTCTGCCTTCCCTCCGCACTCTTCTTTCCTCTTCTCCCCACTGGAGCGGGTCTCCGAGCTCCTCCCCGCAGAAAAAAGGAGGGTTGCTCTCTTTCTCGAATGGAAAGCTTGAGGAAATTAGAGAAAATTTCCTCCTTTCTGGCTCTTCGTCTGTCTTGAAGGGGCTCCCATCTAGCGATCTGCCTGCGACTCGGCGTCTTCTGACGAATGAATGGGACGCAAACGCGTGCCAGACTCGCACGGTAGCCTCAAGTTTGGTTTCGCACATCGCTCGTCTTATTGTGGACACAATCGACGCCATATATTACTCCGTTCGATCTTGAACGTTTTTGCGAAGCAACTGTGAAAACATGTGAGGCACTGAACGGGCGACTCATCAAACATTTCCATCGATAGTCACTGGCATCCTCAAAAAATCCGGGCGAGGGAACTGCTGAGCTCCTCGTTATTACTGCACAGCCGACGAGGTTGCGGCGTTAGACGATAAGAACGTCTAAGGACGCATCGCAAAGCAAGAAGCCCGAACAAAATCAGTGGCGCCCTGCGCCTCTTCAGCGATCGGTGACCACAGCGCCATGGGGACTTGAACAATCCAGGAGGCTCCTCACATGTTCACAAAATCGATCTAAGTTTTAATTTGGTTTCGAAGTAGGCTATGAAACCTCAACATATTGTCTAACCACTGGCGCTACACTCCGTCGGAGTGAATAAGATTTTGCCGGTAGGTAGTTGGTTCATAGGCAGCGAGTGCTTTAAACCGGTAAATACAGTGCGTTTTTTTTTCTTCTTTCTCTTTATTGAATACATACTTCTGTAAAAAAAAAATGAAGACGTGAAATGCTGCACCAATGCGATCTGCTCGAGTGAGTTATATGGTCAGGCGGATATTATATTCAAAAAGAGAATACAACGAATAGATAACTAATTAGCGAGAATTCACTAATTGTTTATTTTAATTCGACGTTTTAGGGCACATGCTTATATTGAAGACGTGGAGGCAATCAAACTTAAAAGTCAGCGCAGCTTTCTTTTTTTTATCTTGGATCGAGCACGCAGCGTGAGCATTCATTGTCAAATTTTGTTCTGGTAACCTGTCGATACGGAAACCAGACTTGTACACGTTGCTGAAAAATAGTAAGGAATTACATTTACAATTACTCAAGGCTCAATTGTAATTGATCACAATTACAATTACCCTCCAATAAAAGTAAGTGACCGTTACCCCGAAAGGTAATCCGTTACTTTCGTGGCGTTACTTGCAACATATTGTCCTCAAGTAAGAAACAAAGAGAAGAAGGTTATTCAGGTTATTATTATTGCCACCTGTTCCATTAATTTACCTTGAGAATTTTGAGCAACAACTGGTTCTCGAAAGTCTTGTCAGACCCTTTTGTTCCCTTTCTCCAGGGATTATTTTCGTCAGACATTTTGCGTTATTTCTTAATGACGATGTCGACTGCTACGCTGAACACCCTTTGAACTGCAAGAAGCTCAATGCAGAGCATGAAGCATTCGTGAGGAACAATGTGCACTCGATGGGAGTGCCACATTGTTCCTCACGAACGCTTTATGCTGTGCATTGAGCTTCTTCAGCGAAGCAATGGAAGTACTATTTACCTCGAAGATAGAGCAAAGGTTCGTCGTTGCAGCCGTTGCCTGATATTGGAGAGTTTTAGTAGATCGTTCCGATACCCCCGATACCCCCGATAACCGACAACGATATGATGCATGCGCAAAGGCGGCGGCGGAGTATCGGATATCGTTATCGGAGTCATCGGAACTATCTACTAAAATTCTCTGCTGTCGAAACCGCGAAACTGTATAAATCGTCATACAACTAACCAAAACTGAAATAAGAATTGATCGTAGGAAACAGCGCGAAAAACAGACGAGGAGGAAGAAGAAACACCCCAGACGAGCGCCCTTAAGAACTGATTTGTGCACATCCTACTATACCGGCATATATTGCCAGACAATAGCAAAACATAGTTTGTAACAGAAAGGTGATAATTAAATAATAAATAAGGTTTTACTCGATATTCTTTCATTTGTTCTGAACAGGTTGAGCCTCGGTTGAGGCGTTGGTGAATAAGAGAACGTTTTCAATATATAAAGATGTGAAAACAAATGTAACGAATTACAAGGAATCCGTTACGTAAATATGTAAGGGAATTACTTTAGAATTACTCGTAAAAATATGTAATTATTCAGTTACTAAATTACCGATAAATGTGAGGGATTACAAGTAATTTCGTTACTTGTAACGGATTACGTACAACTCTGACAGAAACCACACGCGCGATTACCGCCAGAAGAACAACCTTCATTTGACGCCTGAAGGTGACGTGTTATTCTCGAAATTGGCGTAACTGTTGCGTCACAGCGCGTCGAAGCATTCACTTTCTGTTGAGACGTTTATGTTTGGGTTGTACTTTTACCCTGGCTCGCACCCATAATTAAAACGGTTTTCGGTGAGAGCGCTCAGCAAAGCGAAGCAGATTGTCGCGGCTGGTAAGGTTACTTATCGCTTTAGTTCACCAGCCACAGATCACGGACTGCAATCAACTCCGGCGCAGCGACGCAAAATAGTAACGCAAATTTCGTCAACGGTTCCTCCGGCGTCAAACGAGGGTTGTCCTTCCTGCGGGCACCGCGCGTTTGGTTTCGGTATCCACAGATTTCCAGAACAAAATTTTACAATGAATGAATACCTCACACTTTGTGCTCAATCCAGATTTTTTTTTTAACAACTCTTTATTAAAAATAATAATAATAATGATAATTATAATAATAATACTATTATTAATGTTTACTTTATGTGCACAGAAATGACCACGCGGGTCTTCGCATTGGCATACGCAAGATAAAAAGAAGAAAGAGAGCACACGCTCAGCATCAAATGTACAAAATTAACATGACTACAAATAGTGGACACACTTCACACAAAATGTAATACAGTTTCAACCTTCAGCTAGACTTGCCAAGTTCCGGCGAAAAACTGAAGAATCCGTGAAAATGTCCAAGTTAGAGGATGCGATTTTATTAAATGAAATTTGCATACGGGACAGTGGTGAGAGTTCAGACATGGATTGAACGTAAAAGACGGTAACATTTCTGGTAACGCGACAAGAAACATGGAAATCGACAGAATTCAGAAGTAGGTTAGCACCAATCCAACCCTTTACCACCCTGTGCAAGAAAAAAAAAAAAGAAGCAGGTTACGCACGAGTCTTCTATTTGACAAAGACCCAAGTAAAACACTATTAAGAAAAAATTCATGATCATTATAACAGCGACGCTGAAGGGTTCTGTCATATAAAATGCGCATTATTCTTTTTTGCACTGATTCAGTGCTTAAAGACGGTGTACTTGTTAGAGAATTCCAAACCACTGAGGCAAATTCAAGCCGTGAACGAACTAAAGCACAAAGTAAACGAGTCCTACAAGCAGGGCGTCTGAACTTTTGAGTTGTACGAGATATAATAACAAGAGTTTTCATCGCACGGCCAACAATAAAAGAAACATGTGCATTGAATGACAACGCCCTATCAAGGCACATACAGAGGTTTTTCTTTACAGTCACGCGTTTGATTGGAATTCCTCCAAAAGAGTAAGTAAAATGCATAATAGTGTGTCGTCTGCTCAAAGAGAGAACCTTAGTTTTTTATAGGTTTTAGGAGCAAATTATGCGCCAAAGACCATTGTAGTATGGTATTCACTTCGTGCTGAAGGGCATTGCAATCAAGAGTAGCAACGCGCATAAAAATCTTAATATCATCCCCAAACAGAAAGAGCTCAGCTTTTTTGACACATGAGGCTATATTGTTAACAAATATTTTAGGTAGTTACTCATCTGTGAGTTGCATTCTTTTTGGAACATAATGTCTGCCTGGCCGTATACCTCACTCGGACAGGCCGCATTTATGCAGCTTTCACGGCCTTTTTTAGAAAAAAATGTATTCAATAGAACAAAAACTGAATATGGCACATTTTTTTACATCTCCCAACATTTGTTTATTTGTTTATTTAACAATATGGCCAGCCGCTAGATCGGTGGCCAAGTCCAGAGAGAACACTGCTTTGCAGACTGTACAAGTAAAGGAAAAAAAATTAAATCGTATGGACTAAGAGCAACGACGTATGATGTGAATGACGTTCACTTCAACATATCCACTAATATAAATGACAAGATGTGAAGGAAATACGATAAACAAACAAAACATTATTATGGTTTAAACCTATATTATAGTAAACTGATAATTATTATCAACAGCGCACTACGAAAATGTGATGAATAATTGTGCTGAGTGTTAACAATCTTTAAAGAAACTCCCTGTAACCGTATTTTCGGCATATCTTCGATGTTTTCAGAATTTTTTGCTTATAATTGCTGTTTATAAACTGCAATTTGAGGTCAACATAACCCATTAAATATTTGCTTACACAATTGGTACGTGACGCTCCAGAATCGATGCATATTTCGTGCGCTTTGAAATCTGTAAATATTTCATGGGTCTGACGTTTAATTCAGATGTATTTATGAGAATCTTAAAAATGCAGGAGATTTCAGCACGCAGGCAAACAGTATTTTGACAGAATGTTGCGTTTTGTCAATGAATCTGTCTATTTTGTTATACGTCCACAATGTCCTGATGTCTTAGATTCAAATCGTAATTTCCATGTATCTAATACCTATTGTGAAAACGCAGATTACGTGTGGCAGCACCGGAGACGAACGGATCATCCAGGCTTCAAATCGAACTAACATCAGCTTCACCACATCCTTCCTAAATGAGGCACCTTACAACTGTGGGCTCACAGAGGTAAGTATCGGGCACTGAAAGACCAAAGCAGAATTTCGGGGTTTTCTGTGTCAAGCGAAGGGCGTCCGGCATGCCCCAGTGGAGAACTGGTGATTATTATTTTTTATCAAACGGGAATTTTTTTCCACAAACTTAAATCTAGGTTACACGGCAACAAGAGTATCAATACCCCTGTTTCACTAAACATTCAAATGCCAGAACGTACTCCTTCAAAATATCGGTAAACCGGTGCTCGCCATGCGCCGATTCGAGTTCGCGAGCTGATTCTCCGATCCTCGAATGAAACTAAAACTTTAAACTGGGATGGTCAGTCTATGATTAAAAGGGCATTAAAAGCCACAAGAAGACCTGGAAGAAAGGGCATTAATAACTCTGACAGGCGTAGCGCCCGTTTTGTGTCTTCATGCATGCATTCTTCTTCGTCCATGTCTTTTTGCGGTTTTTAATGCCTGGAGAAGAGTTCGTTCTGAAGCCCTTCAAACTTCTGTGAAATAGCAGCAGTAAAGAGAGCGGTGCATCCAGAATAGAAGTTGCAGCAAAACAAATGTATATTTTACTGTTCGAAGTTTAAGGGGTTTGTCTGCCTTCGATATATGACGACACGGCTTCATCAGTACGGTCCGTGCAACGTGATGCCCGTTAATGACTTAGGTCATTAACGGGCATCACGTTGTAGTTGTTACACAACCGTACGCCTGTAAGCGGCAGGGGCAAGAATCGAGCTGAGCAAGGATCCCCATTCGTTCCGCGTGAGCACTTTAAAAACACCGGTGTGTCTACTTTCAGGCAAAGCATTAGGGAGACTCGCCGAAACCTGCGGAGGAAGGTCGGCGAATGAGGAGGCCTATAACATGTCTAGACCTTAAAAAAATAACTTGTCTTGATCATTCTGGAAAACCAAGGGGCACAAAATTTCTCGTGCGTGCGTTACGCGTGCATTATGATTTTCTACACTTGCTGCAGTCATCATATGTTCCTGCGGGTGCTTTTTAAGCCCTTTTATCCAACCAAATTTATAAAGTGTGCTGTGAAGGTGAGGTTTTAGTCCGCCATTGTGCAGGCTTCCAACAGCTGCCTATAAAGGGCAGTCTTTCGACAGTGGTTTATACTAAGTGTTGTTATAGTAAGTGTTGTGCATCTACAGACAGACAGTGCTGGACAGAACATACGTTTTGATCGTAGCTCCTTTTACGCTATCTACATGGGTGATGAGAGTGACACGCTGCTTGTGTGGATGATGACTGGACATAACGAAATGTCCAGTCCAACCCAATTTTCTCCTGAAGTTAGTTATACAAAACAAGAACAGTTTTGGATTACTAATCAGATCCAAGCAAATCCTCGATTCCTGGTTTATCTTTTCGGTGCTGTCGGATCTTTTATGGCTGGCTCCGTATTTGTCTCCGGAATTGCCTAGAGCTGCTGTGGCGGCGTTGCTGCGTGTGGAAGTCTAATGCGGTTGTTCACTGTTGTACCTAGATGCACGTCAGGCCTGGTTCAATCGCTTCTCAGCTTGTTTCGGCGTCTGTAATGGCTGTCGCCTTTGCCTAGCTGAGCCGTATACGACACCGGTCCTCGGCTTATAATCACTCTGGCCGCCATGTATCTGGTCCCTTGACTGAAGGTTTTAGAGCAGACAGCATCGCCGACACGGTACATCTTGTTCTGCGGCCGATAAAGTTTAGGCTCACGTTGTCGGCCCGTAAGAAATCGGTTCAAGGCGGTCCTCAGCTTTCGCCCCATCATCAACTCTGCTTGTGACTTCCCGGTAATAGAATGAGGCGTTGAGTGTTGCTCAAACAATAACCTCGAAATCTTGTACTGAGTTGTGCCTCGGCTCTTCCACAACTGGCGGGAAAACGCACAGTGAACACTGCCCTAAAACCGTTACATGTCAAAAACCCTTGTAATTTTGTGCTTGTAAATGCTGTGCCGTTGTCTGAGAGTGATAACGTCGAGCACCCGATCTGTCATAAACATTTTTCTCAAGCTTGTTACTTCTTCTGTAGCCTTCATTGATGGCATAACTTCAACTTTTTCCCAGTTACTGTACGCATCTATCACAATAAGGAACACGTCTCCTTTGACTGCCATTGTGAAATCAATGTGCAGTCGACTGCGCGGTTGGTCCGGATTGATACACAAATCTTCAGGGGGAATGGGCTCGCTTTGTCGGTTACTCTGACAAGGCTGACAGTGGCGCACAAAGTCTTCGATTTCGCGATCCATTTCCGGCCACCACACCAGTCCCCTTAAGGACGCTATCATAGGACTCATTCCCGGATGATATGCATGCAACATTTTAAACACTCTTTGTCTTGCAACTTGCGGGATTACATCGCGGCTTCCTCACAAAATACAATCTCGGTGTAGTGATAACTCCGACTTCCTTACTTCATAATATTAGCATGAACTTTCCATCTGTGCTGTCGACGGCCGGCCACTAAAGATCCACTTCTTTACCTTGTTCACATCGCGACACTGTTAGAGCGAACACGACATCGGCGCATTTTACTTCTAAACAGTATTACCGAGCACGAAATTTTATCCCCTATATTATAGAACTAGATGATCTCTTTCCGTAGCATTAATAACTTGGATGACATCCCTTGGTTTTAAAGAGAAAAACTAAAAAAACCGGCGATCGCTTGTTCGCGCTAACAGTGTCGCGCTCTGTACATGACTCTGTCGTTCTGGAACAGCTTGGTGATGTCTGCCGCTTGCCACGGGGCATAGTCGATAGCGTCCAGTACGAGTACGTCGCAAGGTGGATGTGGTTCGCCCTCGTCCACAAGGGGTGGAAGACGACTGGGGGCGTCGGCATTGGAGGTGTCCTGGCTTTGCCCGTACTGGATGTGATGGCTGTAAGCAGCCAATAACAAAATCCAGTCATGCATTCTAGGCGAAAGCACTTTGGGCACTCGTGTGTCCGTGTCGAAGAGCCCAAATAGTGGCTTGTGGCAGGTCACTCCCGTGAATTCTCGAACTGGTGGAACTTGTTACTCCGAATACGACGGTCAAACCTTCTTTATTCACCTGTGAATAGTTACGCTCATTAACGCTTTGAGTCCATGACGCGTAAGCTATAGGTTGCATGTTAACGCCAGGTGTGCTGTTGGCCACCCCTACTCCCTCTCCCGAAGGAGACGCGTCGCAGCACAAAAACAAAGGACGCTCGGGGTCGTAGGAAACGAGCACAGCCTCGGAGCTAAGCGGCTTCAGCCTCTCAAACACACGTTGGTTCTCACCCGTCCAATTTAACTTTTGGCCATCGCTCAGAAGCTGATAAAAACGTTCCGGCGCTTCAGTATCTCCATTCACAAAACAGAAATTCAGAAATCACAGTGGGGCTTGCAGATCCTTCTTGGGTTTGAGCGTTTGCACTTGCTGAATGGCTTCTGTCTCGCTATGATTCGGATGAATTCCTGTGGAATCAATTTCGTGTCCCAAGAATTCAATGCTTGTTTGGTTGAATTTACAATTTTCTTTGTTTACTCTTATTTGTACGTTTTTGAAACGCGACTGAACAGCCGCTAATATTTCCGCGTGCTCTTCTATGTTGCTCCCGGAAATCAAGATATCATCCAGACAAGCCTTTAAGCAAGGAATGCCTGCCAACTACGTGTCGATGACTCGTTGAAACACTCACGGTGCCACCCAAAATTCGAACGGAAGCTGTCGGTCCTTGACCAGCCCCTCTGTTGTATTGTCAGTGGATATCTCGGTTGATTTGGCACCTAGACTGAACTGCTGATACGCCTGAGTCAAGTTGAGCTCGGTGAAAATCTTGCTTGACCCCAAGGTTACGAGCATTTCTGCGGTAGTAAGCAATAGATGCCCGTTGCTATTAAGTGCCTTGTTTACAGTTCTACAGTAAACACCACATAGCCTCAATGTTCCATTTTGTATTCTTACCACCCCCAACGAAGTCCCCCACTTAGAGTATCCACAGGCTCTCACACGCCATGTTGCACCAAGCAATCTACTTCATGGGACACGTCGTCATTTAGAGCTGGCGGTACTGGATGACTCTTCAGGAACACCGGTCGGGTGTGGTATTTGAGTTTGATGTGAACTGATGACTTGTTTAATCCAGGCAGGGTGTTGCAAAACACCTCAGAAAACCTTGAGGTCAATTCCTCAAGCTCTGGCTGCTGAATTTCCTGTAAAGCAATGCCTAACGGCTTAAACCAGTTTCTTCCGAGTGTACTGTTGCTTCGCTTCTTCAATACAAACAACGGCAGCCCAGCTTTATGGCCCTGGAACTTTTACAGTCACGTTTGCTCGACCGATCACCGGCTGTGCCTCACTCGTTTACGTTAACAGCGTTGTGCCAGATTCTTGGAGTGGAATTTTACTTTGCTTGCCCTCAATAAATTGAAACGTATCTTCACTCACAATTAAGCGAGACGCCCTTGAGTCGACTTCCATTGGAGCTTGCTGTCCTTGAATCTACACTCGCACTATGAACGTTTACTTTTATTTATGTGCTTCGCAGAGAGAAAACAACGGGTCCATTTCGTATACTCCTTTGCTCTTATTCCCTTTCCTGTTCTGTTGTTCGTGTGTTTTTGATGATATCTTGCTCTTCTGTTTCAAACGACATGCCTTTGATATCTGTTCAACTTTCCTTCAAGAAGCACTCTGACTTTCTGAAACTGATTAACTGTATTAATGAACAAGTCTTCACCAAGAAAGTCGTAAACGTAGAAAAATGTTTGAACAGCAGTAGGAGCTTTAATACACGACGTTTCGGGAAGAGACTTCCCGTCTTCAAGTGTGCAGAAAATACAGTTGCAAAGCGTTTTTAGAGAGACCAAAGGAGAGGGGGAACATTGGAAAAAGCGAAAGAAAAAATTCATATATATAATAGTACGAGTAAAACACTTGAGCATGAAAAAACTACATTCCAACAAAACAGATAAAAAAAGAAAAAAGAGGGAAGTGGTAGTTTTGAGGGGAACACGGTCGCGGCACTCGTTAGCGAAATCAAGAAAATA